CCTTGGTGTAGATCATGTATATGTCGATCCCCACTGGATAGTTGATATAAATCCCTACCCAGAAGAGATCTATATATCTGCATCACTGCATGCATGATGCATCTATATATAACTCGGACCTATGACTATTAGGCTATGATTTTGTATAGCCGGTGTATTGCTTAATTATTAATGGTTTAGCTTAGCTAGTTGTGAACTAGCTATGTACTTGGCTCGTCTCGTTAGCTAAGTACCTAAGGAACTCAATGTTTTGTGTTCTTTTTAATTTTTCTTGCAACTTTGCTTTATTAATTATTATTCGTCATAAAGAGTTGAGTAGAAGCATGTATTATCCGACTATATAAATCCGCATCCGATCCGCTTCCGCTCCGAATCCGTACCATCTCTGATATCCGAAACAATCCGCATCCACATCCGTATCCGCCCAATATCCGCTCCGCTCCAAATCCGCAAAAATAAAATGGATTAGGATGTGGGAAAGGCATTATCCGCACCGCACCGCACCGCTTTCATCCCTAATTACTTCACAAATGACGTGGATGGTGACGTGAGTAATGTGTGATGTGTAAAAACATGTGTCTGATGACCGCGTGGCAGGAAGTATTGCATTTGTGTTCCATGTCATTTTTCCGATCCACCACGTCATTGAGTTCTGGCCGAAATATCTGTTCGATACACAATTGCAAAATTTAAACAAGGTTGGATTTTTGGTGCTAAAATGAAAACGTTCGTTCTTTGGATAGAAAGAAAGGGGTCTTTTCCTAACCCTGGCTCGAGGGTAATCTTCCTTGTGCGAAATAAGTGGGAAATCTGTCTATTTCTTATGCCATCGCTTTCAGTCCTGCTCTTAGCTTGGTAAGCTTGGTAGTTCTTCCGAAGCCAGGAGAATGACCCAAAGAACGAATAAATTCCCAATCGGTGACAAATAAATTAGCCGAGTTTTATTTGCAATTTAACTGAAGATCGTGATTTTTAAGGCAATTAACCCTATATTTTTTTTTTTTTTGTTTGGTACCACCCTATATTTATTTAATTAATAATTAATAATATGGTCCAAACACCACCAGATGGGGGCGTCGGGTGCAGTAGGACGGTTGCGACGGTTGCTCACAATTCATCACTAATTGCCCTCCACGTGGCGTACCCTGCGGCACTAAATTCTGAATTCAAATTAAAAATTCAGACAAAAAAAATACTAGGGATTTGAAAAATGCAGTATATTTACTGTACGTATATGCTTCCACACGTATAACCGACCTGTCCCGCCCGATTGTCTCTGCCTTCTCTCTCTCTCTCTCTCTCTCGCTCGCTCGCTCGCGCTCGCTGGCTCGGGCTGTCGTAGTTAGCGTCTGTATCCCTGAATTTATTCTACTTTTCTATATTATTCTGGGTTTTCCTTAAATTTTTCCCCTCTTTTCGAAATTTGCTGTTCACAAACCCGCAATCTTTTCGTGTACTCGTTGCCTCTGTGTAGTCCACGCGAAGTTACTCTCGGTCTTGCATTACCCTTCAATTTTGTTCCGTTTTCAGGTGGTGATCGATTCTGTTTTCTTGAAAGTTTGAACCTTTGGGGTTTGGTTCGTATTTTTTGTTGTTGTGCGTTTGATTTGTGTTGCATATTGATAGCGTTGTAAGGAAACTATCAATCTGGGAATTCACGAATGAAGTTGTGGTTACATTGATGTAATAAACTCTTTAGATGTTATTCCTGGGTTTTTGTGGCGCACTCGTTTAGGTTTTAAGGTACTTATGTGCGATTTTATATGTCCAATTTCGTACAGTTTGAATTCCTCTGATCAACTCTAGATAGCGTGTGAAATGAACTGGGTTTCTGTTGGATTTTATGATCAGTTCCATTGATATGGTGAACTGGGTTTTCAAATTTTTGGTTTTGATATTCTTAAAGGTGTCTCCACACTGTGTAGACTTTAGTGTGAGTTTTGTTCACTTTATTAGGATTGATGCCATCAGGGAACACTTCCCCATTTGGAATTTATTTCTTGAGAACGGTTATTTTCTTAGTTTATTGTGATATTGCCTTTCTACTCTCTAATTGAATCATTGTTGTATATTTCTGAAGTATAATCGATTGAGGGATTCAATTTATTTTTTCTTTTCTTTTTGTTTTCTCCCTTGTAGGAGAATTTACAAGCTCTCTCGTGTATCAACCTGTTCGTACTGATCAATGCTGCATCTCACAAAGATCCTCTGTCTCACATTCTTACAATGACATTTCATAGATTTGTTGGTACTGTGGGATAGAGATGAACGTATCTGCTCTCTTGACTTCTGCTGGTATCAATACGGCCGTATGTGTGGGTTTATTTTCTTTGTACTCTGTCCTAAGGAAACAACCGAGCCTTGTGAGTGTGTATTTTGGGCAGAAACTTGCTCAAGCAGATTCAAGACGCCATGATCCCTTTTGGTTTGGGAGGCTTATTCCTTCTGCTAGTTGGATAGTGAAGGCATGGGAAGCCTCCGAGGATGAATTGTGTGCCACTGGGGGGGTGGATGCTGTGGTATTCATGCGTGCAGTCGTTTTCAGGTTTGTTTAGTTTCATTGTGGCATTTCGGAGCTCGTTTTCTGTACATAGAAATTTTGTCGATGTGTTGTTTGTTTTAAAAAACATTGTGGCATTTCTTTGATTTGTTTTTCTCTTTTTCCTTTGGTTATAATGGGTTCTGTATACCAATTTGGATATCAAATTATCGGTGAAGCTACTTGTACTATGCAGTATAGTTCATGCCAGAGTCCTTAGAATTACCTTCCCCTTTTCTCATTGAGGTTTTACTTCTCAAGGGTGTTATAGGGGTTATTGTATCCCTCGTATAACTACTGTGATAATGCTAATCTCCTGTGGCTGTTTCTGACTTTGAGAGGCCATAATTGGAATGCAAGGTGGACTTCTCTCAATAGCATTTCGTCTATCTCACTCTCTCAAGTAAAAGCATAGGAAACCAGATTTGTCATCAGCCAAACGTGGCTTCGAGGCTAGGATAATACATTACTTCCAGACCCACATTGAGAATTAGAGTTGTTGAGCATGCTTCACTCAAAAACCTGTGACTTGGGTGCTTTTGCCAGATATTTTTAATTTCCATTACAACAACAACAACATAGCCTTTTTATCCCAAGAAAGTTGGGGTAGGCTAGAGATGAAACCCAAGAAAACCAAATAGTCACTTCTCAGAGTTTCAGAAGATGACTAGTTTTACTTGTTCAAATTTGTTTTGGATTTAATCATTTGTCAAGAATCTCTGACCAATGTGGTCGATACTAGCGCTACCCATAGTATTTAAATGTTTCATGAACTTCAATTTCAATTTTAATCACAGTGAGGAGATAAACATTTGCTGCATACTATGATCAGTGTTAGGAGCCAAACTTAGTTTTGGTGGATGGTGACAGTATGAGAGTAGAATATTTTATTTTATAACTTGGTGAATATTCATGAAATGTGGTCATTATAGGAAATGACATTTGTTCTATGCTTTTCAAATTATTTGGTTAACTGCATGTTGGAAAGAGTTACCGAAAGTTCTCCTATGGTAAAATAGATATTAATAAGTAATGGATGAGTGCCGGCATGATTTTTCTTTTTCTTTTGCTAAAGTACAGTCAACTGTTTCTGGCTTGTGGATTATTTACGGTTTTCGTTGTTTTGGGGTATGATATCAGCTACTGTTTTTCTGTGTGCAGCATTAGAGTATTCACTGTTGCTGCTATTGTATGCCTGTTTCTTGTTCTTCCACTTAATTATTTTGGGAAAGATATGGATCACAAGCAAATTCCAGATGAACAGTTGACCGTATTCACCATTGGGAATGTCAATGAAGGATCAAAATGGTATGAATCTATAATTTCATTATCGACCATCAGAATTTTATCTCATATAACAGTTTATAAATTGTTCTATATGCTATATGGATTGTTTGGAAAGGAAGTTAAGGGCAACAGATCGATTTCTGGAGTACTTTTACATTTAGAATCAGTTGATTGCTCTCAGTAGGCCCTAATAAGATAATCTTTTTTTCCTTTTACATCAGTCCTAAATTTGTACATTGTAATAGATTAAAGTACCTAAATTTAGTTCACTTCATACTTCAGCAGTTCCATCTTCATCCCATTTAAGACGAGGACAAAATACGAGGAATATGGAAAATGTTACAATCACAGTTACTTATTATGTTTTCTTGTATCTGTCTGACTTTTCTTCAAGCATATCGTATTGGGACAGAGGGAGTAGGGAGTATCATGTTTTTCTTCCCAGTGCCTCCATCATTTGTGTTTGACTTCTGTTCCTAAATATATCTTCAAAATCTCTCTTTGGCAGGCTTTGGGCACATTGTCTTGCATTGTACATCATAACTTGCTGCGCTTGTATCCTTCTTTACTTTGTAAGGACTACAACTGGAACCATCAATTTTACTTTTGCCTGACATATTATGGAATAACATCTCAGTTTTGTTACATATTAATTTTTATTTTATTTTATTTTATTTTATTTATTTTTTTTTGTTTCTCTCTAGGAATACAAGAATATCACAAAAATGAGATTGGCACATATCACAGCTTCTCATTCTAATCCAAGTCACTTCACAGTAATTGTTCGTGCTATTCCATGGGTTCATGAAGAATCATACAGTGATACTGTGACCAAATTCTTTACGGATTTCTATTCTTCAAGCTACTTATCGCATCAAATGATTTATCACTCTGGTGCAGTCCAGAAATTGATGGTGAGAAGCTAACTAGACATATTGTTGCGGGTTTATACAATGATATCTAGATACTCTTCTATTTTTTATAATTGAGTATAAATTGACATGCTTTTATGGTTCTCATCTAACAGGACTGACTTTCTTTTACAGTGCTTGTCCAAACAAAGTGTGCTATACAGATGAAAACTAAGTGTTTATAATTATTATGCTGTTGTGGTTTTTTCATCTGACTGGCCTTTATACATCCCTATACTGTGCTATATCTTTTCTAGCATAGGATCTGTGTATTACACCCTCTTAAGTTTTCTTCAATTCAACCTGCTCATGCTGGATGTTCATCTTTCACAGTTGCATTTAGGGAGTCTGAGGAAAAATTATGCTCTGAAAGGAGTTATTTCTTGTAGCAGGATTTAAAAGTAATTGGGAACTAGGAGTTGATCGTGTTTGCAAGTATACATTGAAAGTGTATTAGTAACACTTTGCTTTAACTAAGTAATAGCTTAAGTCAAATTAGAAGCAAAATCAAAATTCTGAAGTAACCTCCAATGGCATTGTAAGTTCTGATTGAATTTCAGAATAAGAACGAGCGTCCTTTAGAATTATTCCAAATGTACAAGTGCATCTGCACACACATATACACTTGCTACTATGAAGTTTTTCCCATTTGAATAATTACCCTTCCAGTTCATACATTCTGGAAAATGCATTGTTATTGAAGGCGTAAAAAACATGCCTCAGCTCCTCTATCATCTTCAATTAGAAATGCTGACAAAGAAAAGAAAATAAAAGGTTTATAACTTAGAGATGATGGTAAAAAAGGAAAACCAAAGGTTCATAACATAGAAATGATGGTAAAGATAAAGAGGGAATCCATGTTTGATGAAGAGAAGATGAAGATGAGGAGGAATATTAAGTGATGCTATTTGATGATGATGGGATCCATGGGATGATAATGTTGTCATAATTATAATATTGATTTGGAGTTTAGTGATTGATTAGTTTGGCTCACATTGCTTTCTGGAATAAAATTTGTTTCTTTTAATATGAGTTTTCGAAATTTTTTCGATGACCATACGTGCGTTATAATAAAATTTACAACTTCCCTTGTTATTTATATTCTCTTGTGTCATGTTTTCAAGGCACATGCTTATTGAAATTACCAGTTTCATTATTATATATGTTTTTTCATGTCATTTTTCGACGCATTGCACCTCGATATATCTGTGCCCTTTACGACAATGTGAAATGGACTTATTCTGTGGTCATTTACCATATTCAGAGTGATGCAGAAAAGATGTATAAGATGCTCAAGGCCCCCCACAGGGAACAGTATTGTGGATCACGTTTCATGAGATGTGGCTTTTGCGGAAGCACTCCAACATCTTTTAAGGTCCTTTCAGAAGACCGCACAAGCCCTAGAAGAGTTAGCATCTTTGATGGTACAGATATGAGGAAAAAGGTTACAACTGCCACAACTGTTAAGTTATTTATGATTGTCAACTTATACATGCTATTCAGTCCACTAGTTGCAGCTGTCATTCTGTGTTCGGTATCCAGATATGACTAGAAGTGTTTCATGTCATTCTTTTGCCATTTGTTTATTGGCTGCGATTGCCCCTTCATGCTTAGTTTAGTATTAGTGTATTATCGATCAACCTACCTTGGACTGATTTGCCTTTGCCCACGAATAGTAAGTAACATGTGTTTTGAGAAAAGCGCACTTGCCTCAAACTTGCAGGATTATTTATTGAATTTTTTTTGAGAAAATTGATTTTGAAAGGGACAGTTCTTAAGTCATTTGGTTACTTTGATAGTTAGGGGTCTATCAACTCTCATAGGGGGTTCTTGTTCGTTTCTAGAATGTGCCAAGTCTATTGGACAACTCTGAATAGCCCTCGTGTAGTCAACTTTAGTAAATTTAGTTTGAGTTTGATGATGAATTCAATTTAGGGACATCTCTCTGGTCTTCAGAGTTAAGACATTTTGAACTTTCTGCAGGAGTGTGGAGCAGCTATGGTTTTCTTCAGGACTCGTTATGCTGCGTTGGTTGCTTCAGAGGCTCTTCAGTCAACAAATGCAATGTCATGGGTGACAGACTCTGCTCCAGAACCATGTGACATTTTTTGGTCAAATTTATGTGTACCATATCGACTCCTTTGGATCCGCAGGATTGCAGTTATTGTGGCCTCGATTTTTTTCGTGACCTTCTTCCTTTTTCCTGTGGTCTTTACACAAAGTCTTGTTCATCTCGATAAACTTAAGAAGATATTTCCATTCTTGAAGGAAGTTGTACAGAGGTAAGAATCCTAATAACATTAAGAGCCATTCAACCACTTTTGACATTTTGAAGCTGATATTTTGCATGAGTGAATTTCTGTTGGTTCAGAACTAGGAGAATTTCAGAAAATGTATATGTATATGCCATACGAGTGTAACTTAACTTTTGAGCATACAAATACAAGGAATTTGAACAGAGGCTCAGATAAGAATTTTAATTGAATATCTCGAATAAATATATTCTATTCCTATTTGCCTATGGTCGGTTGTTTGCACTCTACAAAATCAAAACTAGCAAAATTATCTCTACCCATTTAATTTATTCAGTGTTACTTTTCTCTAGGAAGATATTGGAACAGCTTATCAGTGGATATCTGCCTAGTGTTGTATTCATCATCTTCCTATACATTGTCCCACCTTTAATGATGTTATTCTCTACATTGGAGGGTGCCATATCTCGTAGCGGCCGGAAAAGAAGTACATGCGTTAAAGTGATATACTTTGTCATATGGAATGTATTCTTTGCAAATATTCTAACAGAAGCTGCTATAGACCATTATCAAGTTTCAATTACCAAGTTGGGAGATACAAAACATATACCAAATTTGCTAGCCAAAGCTGTCCCAGCAACGGTGATACTTCTTTTTTTGAAATTTCAGTTGTCCTCTTATGTTGTCTCATGATTATCTGTAGAATTTTAATTTTTAAAACTATGTAGCTTCTATTTATTCGACCATGTGCCATCATAGTTTAATCTAATCCAGGTGCTTCAATATTGCAGGCAACCTTTTTCATGACTTATGTCCTTACATCAGGGTGGGCAAGCTTGTCTGTCGAACTCATTCAGCCATTTCCTCTTCTTTGCAACTTGTTTTATAGATATGTTCTTCAAAATAAGGATGATACATCTTACGGCACCTATACTTTCCCTTACCACACAGAAGTTCCCAGAGTTCTTCTGTTTGGTCTGCTGGGTTTCACTTGCTCCATACTTGCACCTCTAATATTGCCCTTCTTGTTGGTATACTTTGTCCTTGCATTTCTAGTCTACCGCAATCAGGTTAGGATTCTTTTACAGTCCTAAATTTGTTTGCCGAGTTCTGATCACATTTTTATTAATATATATTCAAAGTAGTGTAGTCCTAGATATAATCATGGAGTTTCCCTCGATTATATTTGACTGTTTGTATTTCTTCCCTTTAATCTAGCAATAATCTGGAGTTATTCTGTATTTGAAATTTGTGAAGTGTGAACTTCACACAGACTTGTATGGATAACATTTACACAATAATGTATCTATTGCTATTGAGTTCTGTTTGATGGTAATGTTTGTAACATTTAAGCATAATTGCCAGTTTCAAAAGTCGGTTCCGTTTTTGCTTTTAAATGACTTGTATGAACAACATTTACACCAGACTTTTAAATTCCGTTCATTTAGTTCCGAATTCATTTCATTTGCAGATTTGTATAAGCAGTTAATTAATTATTTTGCTAATATACGTGCAGTTGCTCAACGTATACGTAACTGAGTACGAAAGTGTGGGGCTGTATTGGCCTATCGTGCACAACACGACCATATTCTCTCTAGTGCTGACCCAAATAATAGCTTTAGGCGTGTTTGGTCTCAAGAAGTCGCCAGTTGCATCGGCCTTCACTTTTCCACTCATCATTTGTACTCTCCTCTTCCACGAGTATTGCAGGCAAAGATTCCACCCCGTCTTTAAAAAGATTCCAGCAACGGTAAATGTAACTTGATATTAATCTTGAAACAGATAGTAGATCTTATAAATACACATATTTGGGGTGTTCATTTTCTTATTTCGTGCATTATCCGTAAATGTTCGTTTGCCTGCAGGTTGCTATTGAAATGGACCGTAATGACGAACAGTCTGGAAGAGTGGATGAGATTCACCAGAAACTGCAATCTGCTTATTCTCAGTTCAGGCCAAAGTCCCAAACTTCAAACACGACTGTAGAACCAAATAATAATACCGAGTCCATATCAGTCACGGTATCTGTTGGCACCGAGAGAGATGATTCTTCCAGGCTTGAAGATGTTGAGAGCATTACACCAGGTAGGTTCTAAAATTTTTCGTATCACTGAAAATTAACTAAAGTTTGTCAAGAAAAATTTAACTGCTCTCAAGATTTAACCAAAATTTTTCGAAAAAATTTTAGCTAAATGCTTGAAGATGTAGACTTACCCATCTCATTAAACTAAAAATTTTACTTATTTGAGCCCTATTTTTTTGTTTTTTAGGAAAGACAACCATTGAACAATTGAGCCGTGGTCCTAAAACGCCTAGTTGGAGTTAGGATGCTGCTTCATATTGGTCGTTTTTTGCGCCAACAAAGTCCTTCCGAGTTACTGTATTGGTTGAAAGATAGCCAGAGGTTATAGAAGGCATAGGATTTCTTTTGGTTGGGATTTGTTTAGTTGGAGGTTGCGGGCCGTAATTGGGCGGGCCCTCAGGATGTATAGAATTGCACTTGTAAAGTTTCGGTAGTAAAATTTCATGGTTGGGTCTCAGAGAATTGGTCATTGGTCCATTGGACCCTTTTGTGAATGAATTTTCTTTTTAAAGAAGATGTCAAGCTGCTGTTTAGTATATTCTTGTGTGCCAAAAACATCAATAATAAATACCAATAGGGGTTGGCTCAAGTGGTAAGCAGTTTGATGTCCCTTAAGCAAGGTATCGAGTTTGAATCCTTGTGAATGCAGAAAATCGTTGATAGGAAACTCAACCACCACCTTGTCAGGTGTGCGACTCGGGTCGACCAACGGATTAGTCGTACCGTGGCTGGCTACTAAAAAAAAACATCAATAATTATTATTATTATTATTTATTTATTATTATTTTTCTTTTTGTAGAATTATGAACACTTTACTAGAAGTCGGGTTAGGTGCTTGGTGGCACTCAGATGTCTAGGGGGTGATTGTTTACAAAATAATTTACTCACTTTTATTTCAACTCAAAATCTAACTCAACTTTAATCCAATTTCACTATTTTTAATATTATCCATATAATTAAATAATAGTATAAATCAATTATGTTTACACATCACATCAATTTTAATTCACTATTCATTCACTCACATAATTTTAACTACCTATCATTTCCAATCATTTTCAATCATTTGTCTCTTACTTTTACATCAAATCAGTTTTAATTATTTTATTTTAAATATTATTTTAGTACATTCTTAAAATTTCAGTACAACTAACAATGCCACATTTTTCAAAATTAACTATAGTTAACCAAAATAATTCAATTTCAACAAATTATTTCATAAACAATCAAGCCCCTAGATTTTCCTCTACCCGGTCCTTCGAGGCGCATGGGCAAGCTAGGCATAGTCTAGGCGGTCCAGACTGTTGTAAGTTAATAATGCCTAGACAAATTAGGGGTCTGAGCATTTTTCAATTTTTTCTTTGGTCAAAATATAGTAAAAAAGAGATTTGAAATGTACAACAAATTATAAATAAAAAATAATAATATGTAAAGTTAGAGCACCTACAATGCACTGGGTCTAATTTTACATATGTGGCATATAAATAGACTAAGTTCTAAATGACATGGGCAAACCCAAATAAAAAAACTCAAAAACTATTCAATGCAAAAATAAAATACTAGGTCTAGAATACATGTCAACCAATAAAAATGCTCTAATATGTTTCATTTATTAAAAGAAAATTTAAATGAGGAATAAATGATGAATGTTTGAGTTTGTACTTGGGTCCAAAATAGAGTCAAGTGTGGACTTGGTCTCTTTTTTATATTGTCACATAAGCTAGATCATGTCCACCTTTAATTGTATTGAGAAGCATTTTTTAATACTAAGTCTATTTCCTATGTGGCATAGGATATTTTATTAAGAGACCCACTGAGTGCTCTTAGTATAACAATTATAAGTACATAATATTTTGAAAATCTTTATATATAAGCATACTAATTAGTATTTTTTCTGAAATGATATAGAATATTATAGATCAAAACGCACAGATGTGCAAAGGCACAACCCCTAGCTGAATATACAACCAACAGCTGAAAAACTGGGAGAACAAGTCAGAAGACCGCCTATAACCGAAACTAGCAACACTAGAAACCACAAGACAAGACTCACGATCCGACTGACACTAAAAACACTACAGAACTACTACAAAGCTAGCAAAAGAAGAATAAAGGATAAAAAAGTTTCCAAAAGGATAATACCCGGTCACACTTAGGTGCACACAGAGGCCAACGCCCCAAACCAAAAGCACGAGACAAAACAGACCAAACAAACAGAAACGACCTAAAGAAAACCTACACAATAATAACTAAAAAAATCAAGTCCTCCCTCAGCAGAACGCCCGAACTGAACCAGCTGACAAAGACGACTCCTCAGAGAGATCCGAAACACAAGAACCGCGCCCGCCATTGCCTAATGCCTAGTAAAGACGTGGATTCAAGCCCCGAACCAGTCCAAAAGCCGACCCGCTCTCCAACCGAAAGATGCCAAAAACGCCCCCAAGCCACCACCGCCCCAAAACCGACTAACACCACTAGCCAATTCCGGCAACATCGGTCCTCCCTCGGACTAAACACCAGATATCGGGGGAGAAGGGAGCAAGGACGACATCAATGCCCCAGTCACTCCGAGACAGCCGGAGCGAGCCAAAAGCTCCCCTCCCAACCCCTAAAAACGAACCCTGACCCATTACACTTGCAACCGAAAATTGGTTCCAGCACTGCTCGGAAGAGTATGGATGGGATTGGGTGTAGTACCCGACACAATAACTCGGCTCACTGTTCCAAGAGGAGTAGTACGGGGAGGAATACTCGTGATTGAAATTCATATCCCTGCACAGCAGAACAAAACAACCCAACGTAGCCACGAAAAAGAGAAGAAGAACAAGACACAAAATAGAAAAACAAAAATGCAGAAAAAGAACAAAAAACACTGAAAATACAAAAATAAGGAGAAACACAGAAAATAAAATCAATACCAAGACCAAATATCCTACTTGCCTTCCCCGGCAACGGTGCCAAATTTGTTGTAGCAAAAATTATTATTTTTATCGAGTAATGAATCGAATGATTCGTTCCCCGGGTCGATCTCACGAGGAAGGCGGTTCGGAATTTAGCTTCGGCATTGATAACACATGAAAAGAAAATAAATCCTAAACATACTAATAAAATAGGGGAGGAATGAATAACCTAACATAAAAATAATAATCTACCTAAGAAATACGAATGAAACAATGAAAAAGAAGCTAGGGAGTCGGGGTTAATTAATTCAAGTTCTAGCAAAACCGGGCAATCAATTGTTCGGTTAGAGATTAACACTCTCGCTTATACATCTAGCGGTTCGCTCCCAATTACTCTTCGTAACAAGGAATTGAACATAGACGAACAAGTTCGAGCATACAATACAGGCCAATTATCCCAATCCCAATAACTTTTCGTAAGAAGGGATGGGTCAATGACAAGCACGTATTTCATTTGAAAACACATAGATTATTCAGTTACGAAATCGTCTACCTCATGCGAGCCTAGGTCTACGACTTCTTCCCCTTTCGGTTCAAAAAGTCGCTAATTCAATTAGAAGGGTATTAATCGACTAATCATGTAGAATCAACAAATTCTAACTCAAAAAATTAACATTCAATTGTTTCCAATTGCAAGATCGAAGTGTCACTCTTCGATTATATCAATCAATCAAGCTCAAATTCATCAATTCCTAATCAATATAACTCACATAGGCATGAACAATTCAAGCCCGACATATGCAAATTAAACAAGAACAATCATTCCCCTATCCCTAGCACTGAGATTTAGCAACGTAAAATTAATTCAACACAATCCATAATCTCTCTCAATTCAATCATTTTTCATGAATTAAAAATAAAGAGAAGAATACCTTACGATTTTCAATTCGAGTGTTGAATCCAAAATTACAAACTTAAACCCTAACTAAGAATAAGAAGAAGAAAAATGGAAAATAATAGTGAAAAGAAGAAGAAAAATGAAGAAAGAGAAGAAGAAGAGAAGAGAGGAGGATGAGAGTTCGTGTTTTTTTCTTAGGGCTAGGGTTCATCTCCTGAAGGGGAGAGAATGATCTTCTCGAAGTCAAAATACGAGTATTTTTATGAAATAGGGTCACGGGCATGAGATTTTTAGTTACGGCGCGAGAGCATCAGGTGTCGGGGGCGCGGAGGTGGGCGTGGCGCGACGGGAAGAGGTGCCGCGGCACGTTGCTTTGCCGCGGCGTGGTGCTGGGAAGATGTTGTCTGCTGAACGTGGGCTTCGCGGCGCGGGACTTCACAGCGGCGCGGCAGGGGGTTGCTTCGCGGTGTGGGACCTCACAGCGGCGCGGCACGGGACTTCTTCGCGGCGCGGCACAGGGCTAAAAGCACGGGTAGCATGGCATGGCAAGCTGCACGGCGCGACAGGTACGAATGTGCTCTCTGTTGACCGCGTGGCGTGCCCGCGGCATGGGGCTCGGGCTGCTGCTAGCTTCTGTGCACAATTTCATGTTCCGGGCTCGTTTACGCTCGTTCTGACTTGGAATTTGATTCCACTTTTCCTCTATATAATTACGCTTGCACGGGCAGCTTTTGCCTAAAATTCGGTCCTCCCGAGGCTTTCGACCTACACACCATAAACAAAGAAGAACCAGAAAAAATATACGGAAACCACACAAAAAACCGAAATAGCACGAAACACACAATAAACACTAAAACGAGCTAAAAACCAACGAAAAGACCTAACATGGGGGAAAATGAAAGACAAAACAATAAAGAAAAAAACGCAACAAAAATGGGACAAACAGGGAGGTAATTCGGGTCATTATTATTAGAGTCTCAAAAGTAATTTGGGATAGGAAAGGAGAGTGTGATAATATTATGTTAGTGGACCATAATATTATTTAAGTAATTGGAAGAGTGGGTTAGGCCCACGGTTAGTACATTATTTAAGAAACCCTATTCATGTTCTTCTTATGATTCCTAATGTTGCTCTATATATACATCATTAAGGTCATGAAAAAGATAAGAACGGATCAGATTTCTCCTACGTGCAGATATAACACATGCACGTCTCTCTCTCCCTCTCTCTCTCTCTAGATTTCTGTACGATCTTTATCTTTTTTTTGTTGTTCCACCGGCACAAGTTGAAGAGGTGTGCGAGTAATACAGTAAAAGATCTCGAGGTAATCGAGACATATATATTCTTCAACCCTGGAGCTGACGACCGTGACCCGCCGGACCATCACCTACGCGTCGTGACCAACCGAGCCTGACGCCTCAAACGCCGCGAAACGCAACCCGACC